GCTACACTCGAGACTGTCGTTTCCAAAGTTTCAACTCATAAAACCCCATATTAAAGGGTATCTTTCTGACAGTGGAGCTGCGGGGCCATTCGGCGCCCCTTATTTTTCTGTCCAGCAACAAGCCACTCGGCGTATTTGCAATAAAATTCGAAGCTTCCGTCTGGTTTATCTGCCACATAGTTTTCTTCTTTGGTTTTACAGATGGGGATAATTGGTCGAACAGGCGCTGGTAAGAGCTCTCTGGTGTCCCTTCTCTTTCGTCTGGTGGAAGTTCAGCGCGGCTGCATTCTCGTTGATCAGGTGAACACTGCTCAAGTGCTTCTGGTTGATCTGCGCAGGAGAATTTCCATCATTCCTCAGGTTAGGACTCCGTAAACGTCTTCGTATGCTGCCTCGAAATACGCCATTTTGTAGTTAAGGTTTAAACGTGTAAACAATGAATTCGAAGTTGCTAAAAAAGAAATTATACCTTTTCAGGATCCCCTGTTGTTCACGGGTACCGTCCGCAGCAATCTCGATCCAGAAGACCACTTTGATGATGAGGAGCTGTGGCACGCACTTCAGGCGGTAAGAAAAGTTTCTTTAAGTCCTGCATGCTGGCTAAAAATATAAGCTTAGAATGCACCTCGTTCATGCCTACTGGACGTTTTGCCATTGGTTATGAACCACTTGCCGAAGGCACCTAGGCTAGCTGTCTAACGGTTTTGAAAACCACTAACATTCTTTGAGTAAAAAAATTATATTTTTGTGTAACATAATGCACAAATCATTTCAGTAACCGCCTTCTCTGACTGACTGTTCCGTCGTATCAACATATATATCATAAGTCCCTATGCGACTGCCCGTAAGTGAGCGCAAGGGAACATAATGTTCCCTAACAGTATCGGCGAGTCCCCATATTCGCATCATACTCCGATCGCAACTGACAAAAAGCACGAGCCCGTAGCTCAACAGTAGAGTGTTACACCCCATGGCCAAAGGTTTGCAGGATCGAATCTCGGTTGACCCACACCAGAAATTTGGTATGACTGGCTAATGTGGGTATCTCAATAACTTAAGGTAATAGAGGAAACCCTTGCCGTTGCGATCTGCAGGCAGGGTTTCATGTGGGATGAGAAGAAGCTGGACACCAGGTGGGGGGAATAGTATATTCTATACGGAGCTAGGGAAGAACAGATTGGAGGAATTTGACAGTCCCACGAGCGTGCATCCGCATCCGAGAGGGGCGGCGCCTGAAGTGTGAGAGCGCGGCAGTCGTCACAGTGAAGTCCTGTGTGAGTCAGCCTTAGAGAAGTTTGGCCAGACCAGACTGGGGTAGAAAGACATTGGTGCATCGTGAGAGGTTCAGCGTTGCACATGGAGTTGGGTCACTACAAAAGCTAATAAGTCAGAAATGGCCACTCCGGTATCCTCCGTCTTTTTTGGTTCCACTTTATAAGTTTTAGGTCTGTTTAGCACCGTGTATTTTCTTTTACCTATGATATTCGTAGCCGGCTTATTTTACTGACACCTGCACTTGTCTTTAGGATCCAAATAACATTATCGTTATCGACAAAATGTAAGGCCGAAAAGCTATCTCTTCGAGTTTATATTTTTGTCGTCTGAGGAAGCGTGTGTACCAGACTGTGTTCTACCGGGCTTGTCGCCCTGATCGCCGTTTTTCAGTAACAACGAGAGGAGTTCCCTAATGGTTCGCGAAAGTTGTCTCTGGCTTTAAGGCCTTTATTACACATTTTATTTATCATCTGACGTTTATCCTTGTGTTAATTCTGTGATCGCGTGTCTGTGCGCACGTGTGTGTGCGAGTGAATATCCGTCCAGCGGTTTAAGGTCATCGAGTGGCGATAGTCACCAGCGCAGACACATGACCTTGAGGCCGTTCGCATTGAACAAGGAGTCATTGTTGGCTGTCGGCCACAGGAGTGATTGGTCAGGACAGCCTGCAATATTATGCTGGCAGTCGGTTAGGCTGACCCCTAACATTAAGGCCTTAACTACCAATTTTATTTACCATCTAATGCTTATCCCTGTGTTTATTGTGTTAGGTGCAACTGAAGTTGTTTGTGGAGACCATGCCGAATGGGCTATGTGGCCGAATAGCTGAAGGTGGATCCAATCTGAGCACCGGGCAACGTCAACTGCTGTCTCTCGCTCGAGCTATCTTACTAGGCAATAAGATCTTGGTGATCGATGAAGCCACAGCAAATGTCGATCCCGCGTGAGTGATGCTCATTTCTCTTTTGTGTTTACTTGATCTGTACTTCGCATTCTCTCGCTAACGACTTTTGGGTTTGGGTTACTTCTGCAACGACAAACTTCGAAGGGCATTTTTATGCCGGATGTAGCTTATCCTTCTAATTTTATTCTTCTGTAACACATTATCATCCACTCCAATGCGTACAGGGCGTATTCAGTGGGGGTATTCATTGCATAATGGTGACATTCCGGGTCACGTACTGAGTATAAAACATCAATGATCAGCACAGATAGAATGCGCTTCGCACTTGCGGGGACATTTGCCTGTAATAGTCTACTGTAGTTTCCACTCAAGAAGTATTTAATACGGGACAAATGTTAATGGTAATATTTAAAATAAATTATTACCTTATTAATTAAATTAGTTAACTATTTGTTTTACTTTAATTCATTTTTCAATTATCCTGCGCTTTTCGTTGCTATATATTTCCTTTTTATAATAAGTTAATTTATAATTTCCTGTTTTTGTTTGCCATTTTATTTTATCTTATCTCCTGTGTTCCCGTAGTGCCCCACCCGTATAACCCCTATTATGTATTTATTTTATTTATTTATTACCGGTTTACAGGTAATTTTAAAAATTAGGTTAATTGTTAAAGCACCTCTTGGGCGCCTTCCAGAACCTCGAAGACGGGAAAACCTAAAACAAACTCCCTCTTTTGTAGTCAGTATTGGTTTTGGTTTAGTTTTGTGATTGCTTAAGAGTGGGCGAAATAGGGAGTTTGTTTCAAAAGAAAAAAACTGACTTCAAAGGTACGATACTAAAGAAAGATTATCATCGGTCCCTTAGGACAGAATTTTGCGGTATTGCTTTCCGCGGTGGTACGTATAATAGACTGTTACCCGTTTGCCTACCGGTGAGACACATGCCAATAGATGTCAGTTAAGGATGAAATCACAAGTCACATCTCCAAAGCCACTCAAGCTCTTTTTTCAACCAAATCATTCAGGTTAGAATCATTGTGCCTTTCATCTGAAGAAGAAACGAATAACGTGCCGGATTACCATTCTGACGAGACTCCTGCACACGACAAGTGTCTGCGAAAATATAGTGAGAATGTTCGACCATCTTCAGAAAAGCCGCAACTGGGGAACCCTGATGGATATGTTGCAGGAAAGTATCTCAGGCATTAATAAAAGTGAAGAAACTGTCTTCCCCCAGAATCCACGTCATGCTGAGGAAGACGCAACTGAGTTGGAGTAGCCATGCCAGAAGTGATGACGGATCCATTCCCAAGCGTCTGTTCAACGGTAGTTCGTGACATGTGTTCACCTACTAGGTAGGGAAATGCCTTTGTAAGGACATCCAAACACCAGCAATTCAATCCTGTGGCCCGTGGCTAGTATAACATAGGCCAAGAGAAATTGTTGACGCGGACAAGGGAGACCGGAAAAGTCATTTCTTGTTTGTCGACCATCATCGACTAATCATACCAAGCTACTTGTTTGGCTAAAGCGCGCGACTGGTTGGATAGAAGTCCAACAGCGCAATAATTGTGTATTCTACCCCCGCACTTGTTATCCAACGTCTCTGTAAAATGTTTTACATTTTTTCCATAAATGTTCTTCTTTTTGGCGCCCTTAGAACCAACGCAATCATTCAAGAGACAATCCGTACCCAATTCACCAATAATACGATTCTCACAATTGCCCATCGTCTACAGACAATAATCGACTCAGACGAAGTGATCGTTATGGAGTCTGGACGGATAGTCGAACAAGGCTGTCCTTATAGTCTGCTGGACCCTTCTGGAGCGGCTGAGCTCAGTAAGCAGTCGGCGGGATCCACAGCGGAACCTGTCACTGCATTTAAACAGCTAAATGTCATCGCTGCTTCTGGAGTCAGTGGCAACGGCCACTTTGCAGCCATGGTGTCGCAGACTGGTGAGACTTTTGCTGCCGAGCTTACAGCCGAAGCTAGACGAGCCTTCCTCCACAAAATGGCCGTTGGAGCCCTCTTTTAATGATGCATTGCGACAGGAACAGGCAACCGACCTCTCCTCCACATTAATATATATTTAATTCTACACTGGCTACTGAGTTCTTACTATTTATACTTCTTTTCCTCGGCACCGGAAACTCGAACCTGGCTTTATTTGTTCCTAAACACTGAATTTTACTAGATACTTTGACTTGTGCTACGGTTTGCGCTCAGTACGTGCGACCCCTATTGCATCTGAGGGTGCTTTAACTGTAAACTGAACTAATCTCTTCAATTGCAAAGGATAAAAATATATATTGCTTGGGCAGCATCTGACAGCCAAATAAGGCGCAATACGCAAATATAGCAAAGAATTTATCATTGAGAAGGTCACACAGTAAAGCTCTTAACTGGTTTTTATAGAATTGTCTTATTTGGCCAAGGGAATTCACACATGGAGTGTTATAGAGTGTAGTATTATGTTTGTAGTATGTATCTCATCTGAAAAACTTGAGCGTGGCATGATCGGAGAAAACCAGAGAGCAAATCGGCCATAAGATTAATAACCCTGTTCTATAAACTTCGGTTCTTATGTTCTCCGGTCATTAGGGATGGAAGTAAAGTTACTAAATATAGTAAGAAAAACAATACAATACAGACTAACCTGAATATATAAAGAGGAGCTAGGGAGAAGAAAGACAGAAGAAGGACAAGCGGGGAATTGTTTGAAGCCTATGCCACCGTCAGAAATAAAAACTAGGGTTCGACTTTTCCAAATAGAAAGTAGAAGGACCCTGCATACTGTCGGGTATCGAACGGGGTAGAAATTAGACCGCTGAACCTTTTTTGAATTTGGGGATTTTATTGTAGTCTTGTTATTTTTAGCGAATCAAGAATCATTTTGCTTTGTTAGTATGTGCGTGTTGAGAATCCCTTAGTCATGCGTGATTTTGTACAGGTAAGTTTTACCATTTTGCAGTCTGCGAATCCAGCGGGGTTGGAGACCATACCTATTATATTGTTAAATGTAAGAATCGTGTGTGCCATCACACTAAGACGTAAATGTGGTGTTGTTAACAGTGAGATCTGTTGTCAGAATACTTTGAAGAGGGCCATAAAACATGATAATTTAGGCGTAAGCCTCAAGACTTGGATTTATCTCTCCCTCGCTGTGGATTCTTTCCAAAAATAATTCACCAAGTTTCTGTTAAAAACTTACCGCCATTGCTGACACTACAACATCTATGGGGAAGTCATTCCATAGTTTGACCACTCTGGCAGAGAAGAAATACTCATGCACATGTAGTCTTGCCGCCTAAGTCCGCAGTTCTAACGAGTGACCTCGGACATTGGTCGTGGCAGTACATTAGATAAAACCTCAAAAGTTATGTAGCCACGCCGACTTATTTTAGGGTTTTCACGTCATTGAGAAAATAGTTTCTAGTGTTGACGGATCTGGCTGGATTGCCTGAGCCGATAATTGTGTAGTGGCCGGCTTTGAACCGTAAAAGCCAACCGTTTGAGAATCCCTCCCAGTGATTTATACTAAAGTGCAGTCAAAATCTTCAGCAGTGTTCTGGATTATACTCCACATTTTCATATCGTCAGAAAACAGTGTTATTTAACGGTCCAAAACTCTTTCTCAGCCGTCCACGTATATACGTTATTGACTTGGTCCCACTACGGCACACATAATAACTACAATCTTGAGCACCACAGGACTTGAATTCTAGTAGGCAGCGCACACTACCGGACGCAAACCCACCAGGAAGTTGTCACTAATTGTTCTCTTTCCTAGTTTTCACAACTGTGTAGAAGACATTATGAAAACAGTAAAGGCCATGCGAAAAGTGTGCCCTTTCTCGGTGGTTTGGGTCCGGCTCTGGAGAGACTTAAACATATTTGCTGCACAGAATCTTGTTTTCGCAACCTCTGTTACGAGTTCGATAACAGCTTGTTAACATCTTCCAGCTGCACCAATTTGGTGTTCATTTTTCTTTTCAGGACCGCCGAAATTCAAGTCAAGCTTAAGGACCGTTAATTATTCATCTTCACGTGGCTACTACTCAGCTTTGTTTATACTGTGCGATATCCCGAGCGCGTCCACGTGCACACACTATTGCGAAGAGCAGTTCTACAAAGAAGAGAACATTTCGAAGAACAACATCAGACGTGTTTTTACGTGTATTACGTTTATTAGTGTAATATCCAAAAATTCCAGATAAAACGCCTTTAAATTAAAAAGGCGGACTTTGCGCGAAATTTTACAAAGAAACTCTTCAACTGTAAAGGCGTAAAATGTCAGAAAACCCTCACTTACAAGTAAAAGATTGAGAAGCAAAAAACTTCGATGGGCAATACGGGGGACCACCATTAGTTCACATTGGGAGAAAGAGGGCAATTATAAAGGCACGCCAGATGGCAGGTCAGAGGTATACGATAATTAATAATTTTATATGCCTGATTGCGATAGACATTGGGTATAAATCCTGGTAGGCAAAGGTATCATGGAGAACAGCGAATTTTAGTCCGAATAGGCGGGAGAGCAAAACTAAGGAGTGAGAACATGAATGCGCTAAGAAGCATAGACATGTGCTCAGATTGGTACGCTAGGGACGAAATCAAATGTGCTGAACATAACGAAGCCCCGACGAATATAAACCGAGATCTGCTGAAAGATCATAACGCACGAACGAAAACTTAATCTGAAGAATTTGCGTTAGGAAAATAATGTGGATCCACTCTCCAAAATCCTCTATCGATCCTTCCAAAATTAGCTTAAAACGGTAATATAAAATAGCGGGGAATTAAAAATTTGACTCATCAACGTAAGGTATAAAGACGCAGTCTCTTTTTAGACACTGGAACGTAGGCAGATAACACAACATTGATTGACAGGTAATTTCAAAATCATATTTATCTGCTAAGGTAGAGACATGAAGTTGAGGTGTTGAAAATGCGGGATGGGTTGTACTCAAGCAAGAATTACAAGGTATTTGCTAATGATTAATAGGAGCAAGGGTCAATAGCCCATAAAGAAAATGAAAAGGAAGAAAGGTTCGCATCTTCGAAATAAGATAGGTTTTAGGCAACTGGGTATGTAGCTGCTAAATTAGCTTGTATACAGACATGTCCCATGAAACAGTTTTCGATGGAAATGATCTGAGAATTTTCCAATTTAAAAAGGGTTTGAGTGGTTGATTGTACCGAAGAATGTGCAGCACAAAATTTGAAGCACAGATGTTAAGTGAACTGTTAATCTCATTTCAGAAGGGACAATTTTTTGCTGTTGCTGGGTATTCCTTAGGCAAGAGATCGAAAATAATTCTATAGATTAAGAAGAAGTCCTAGTTATTATTATAATTCAGTATATATAAGGGAGATAGACAGAGCCTTTGAAAACCCTATTTACAGATAGATGCTCCGATCATGCATGTCGTTCAAAGCCATATATACATCAGATAAATCGTTGTTGTCTTCCAAGTGTATGACCAACAAGTAAAGTAAGATCAAGCCTTCTTTTCAATGCGTCAACGCTTTCAGCTAGAACAACTGAGGAAGGAAGTTTATTCCAACCTTCAATGACCCGGTGGAAGAAGAAGTTGGCCCGCAA